GGAAATTAATTACGGTAGGGATTTCGAAGGCACGCGTCTGTCCTATGTCTATTCTTTGCTTTTATGACTTTCTTGTCCCCTTCCGCTCCTGGCAGATCAAACACCCTCCCATATTCCCCACTTATGTTTAATTCCTTTGCCTCTTCAATTGATTCCTGTTTCTGTTAAGGAAAAGTTGTTTAAGTGGTAGAGCGTGACCCATTATACTTGGACGGTGTTTTAAACTCTAATTTTGTGTTGATATATTTACGTGCATGTATAAACTACACATATTAAAAGTATTCTCTCTGATTTAAAATATAAGCTAAACTTTATTAAAAGGACTTAGTTTTTTTTATAAGATAATATTTACTTTTGTCTAAGTATTTAATGAGTTTTTTTTTAATTTTATACCCAAATATTCTATTTCCTCTTTGATTCATTTATTACATCTTTTACTTATTATTTTTATTAATAGGGGCATACTTGCAAAAAAAAAAATGCCTTACATATTTATTGTTTAAAACTGATTTAGCCTAATTTCATAATGAACGTGAATGGATAAAATTTAGCTTATATTTTAAACTAGAGTAAGTATGATGCTCTTTGTGCTAAATCGAACACTCTCTCCGGTTCTAAATAGGGTATAGTTAGAGATTTATTTTAATTTTAAGTATAATATTTTTATCTACTCTATCTTCTAAATTTATAATTTTTTATTATTCTTATTGATTTTGCATGTTAAGAAATTTCCATCAAATTCCAAAGCAAATAATTTTTTTTTGCCAAGTGATGCAAATGATAGAAGATGGTATTGTTTAAAAAAAAAAACAGCACATATTTTTTTACAAATAAATCATTTAACATATTTTTTAAAAACTTCAAATTAGTTATTTAACTCATATATTGAAGATATAAGAAAGTATATGTCATACATATGTTACGAGTTTTGATGAGTAATACTCCTATAGTTCTCAATGTAAGACTTAGTTAAGTATAAAACCTTAATCTATTTTATTTATTATATTTATCATTGCTTCCAAAATTAATTTATCTACTATGTAAACTGATATATAATATAATTAATGTTTTATAGGGGTATTTTAAAGAGATCATATTATATTTCTCATAATTAAATAATTTTTTTAATTTTTTTAATATACTCAAATTAATTAAGTATTGCTTACATTAAGGATGTGAGGAGTGAAAACTAATAGTTAAACCCGAAAATTAATTTGAAAGGTTAATCGAAACACTACAGACCTTCAAATTCAATTCGTCACACACACAGAAAAGGAAAATAAAAGGACAATTTTCAGGTGAACCATCGGCAAAACCATGTTAAGCATATGCTCAACTTATATATTTTAAGATTTTAATACTAGCTCCGGTACTTAATATAGAATCTTGTTTAATTTTTATTTTGGTCCTAAATATAAGACTCCAATCCATTTTGTCTCTAATATTTATGTATTTTTTCCGAGATAGTCCTTCTAATAATGGTAGTTCTAGTCAATGCACCTGATTAACAAGGATATTTTAGGAAAGACAACACCTATTTATGACAAATAACTAACTTAATTTCTTTCTTTAATCTCCTTAAATTAGTCAACCAGCTTTTATAATTAGGACCAGAGATAGTATATCATTTAATATATTTTTTAATATCTCTACATTAGTTTTCTAATTTTTTAAATATTAAGTACAATAGATATTACTATCTTCGGTCTTTAGTATAAGATCTAGTTTGACTTTGAACTTGGTCTTGAATATAAAACTCCTATTCACTTTGTCTCTCATATTTATCTATTTTTTTAAAATAGTTCTCGTAGTAATATTTCATTAAATTTTAGTTTTAGCTAATACATATGATTAGGAAGGATATTTTAAAAAAACATCTATTTATTACAAATAACTTACTTAACAAACTTATTTAATCCACTCAAATTAGTCAACTAACTCTTATATTACAAACTAGAGGTAGTATTTGATTTGCATGACTATTTTGTTTATTTTCTACTTATCAATAGAGACAAGAGAAACAGTATGGATCTGACCTTGATTTGGAATTGCACTGTGCGGAGGATAACTAGGACCCTATTTGTCATCACAATTGAAATCACTTATAAACACGTTTCACGTAAGTTGAGACAAAACTCTTCTTACATATTTATCTCGTATTCTATAAATCACAATTGAAAAGTTACTTATAAACTATTCCAAATGGGCTCTAAGATGAGATCATGAACTGTTGACAAAATCAACGGTTCAGGTTTTACTTATACTACCTCGATCCCAATTATAAAATACTGTCTGTAGTGTATTATAAACAAAATCTTATAATTAAAATTAGATGTAGTAATTTATATTTCTAGCTTTCATTTGACCGGGTAACCATTTTGTTTATTTAGGGACGGTCCTGATTTTGAGATGGACCTAACGTGATGGTGTTATAAATATAATAGTCTGTGTCACGGTCAACAATGATAGTCAAGTCAAGACACTTTTTGATTTCTTATGTTTTGTGGTAATTTAGAAATAATTTTTGTGGTTATTTTTAAATAAGTAAATGTTTAAAAATTTTAAATAGGAATAGATCATGCATCATTGATCTATTCTTAGTATTTAACAAAAGAAAAATCAGAAATTGATGAATTATTATTTTTATGTAAAATTTTAGGGAAAATCCTAGCAAAATGAATGTTGAGTTTTAAAATTTCAAATCAGTATTGGTTACAACACTCGTAAAGAAAATAACTATACTCGAAAAGCAAATACAACACATTTTTACAGCAATTATTGATTTAAAATTTTAAAATTCAACAGTGATTTTTTAAAGATTTTTCAAAATTTTATTAATCATGTTACTATTTGAATTACTAAAAATTGTTATGAAGAGTAAAATAGTGTTGCCAAATTTATTTCTAAACAAAAAGTGAACATATTTTTAATGAATTTGCTAGTGATTTCTTTTTCCCGCTAAGCACAGATACCTTTTTATTGAAGATAATTTTGTTCGAATTTGACACGTATTTTAAAATTTCCAGCTTGTAACAGTTTTTGTTTCCATATAATTAGGTGGAGGCTTCTAAACAAACAAAATCTGAGTGGTCCGAAAATTATTTGTTTCATATTTATTCTGAAACAGAAATAACACCATCACACATCCATTCAGTGATATAGTTCACGAATTTTTTGTTATATTCATTGATGTAGTCAATATATATAGTTAACTAATTTTCAGTTATATTCATTGAGATAGTTAATATAGTTAACGAATTTTCCGGTCTATTCATTGATATAGTTAACAAATTTTCGATTGGTTCTAATTTCATGTGCGTTTGGCCCAAACTATAATTTTCAAACCTCAGTTTCGATCAAACAAAAAATAGCCACTCTAGTTATACTCCGTTGATTCTTAAATATAAGAATTTGATAATTAATTTAAGAAGGTTAAAAATTAATTACGTTTGTTATTTGTTAAAAAAATAATGTGTTGGTTTTTGTAAGATATCATTATTTCAATCATTTGTAATGGAAATTACTCCCATATACAAACACGTGATACCTGGGTTCTTAATATAAAAACTAGTTAACAAATCTAAATAGATTAAAAAAAACTAATTACGTTAGTTGTTTGTGATAAATATGTGTTGTCTTTTTTAAAATTTCTTTATTGATAATATGTATCAGCTAAAACTACACTTTTAATATGTATAACTACTACAATGACTATCTTAAAAATAAATAAATATAAGAGACAGAATAAATAGAGATCTTATATTTAGGACTAAATTGAATATCAAACTAGTTATTGTATTAAAAATCACATGTAGTATTTAATATGTTCAATCAATAAATATAATTTGGTAAAAATATTATAAACTTGAGAGATAAAATAGGCCAAGATTTCACATTTAATAACAAAGCATAGCTTTATTAGCTCTTATATTTTTTTCATAAGTACAATCATCCTCCTATTGGAGGTAAGTCTACTCGATAATATATCGAGTATTAAACGTGAGTACTTTTTTTCAGCAACAATTCAGACTTTGATTTGCCAAAATGTAAAAACTACTTTTTTTTTTTACTATACCTAATTTAACTTGAGTTTGGAAAATGAACAAAGTCGTTATTTGTATCCAAACATATCCAGACAATCCAAACAAGAAGGAAAGATCCAACCAACTTTTTGTGGTTTTTAAATTTACTAAGTTATCGTATTATTTATTTATTTATTTAGTCTGTATCCAGGCCTCGAAGATAAATAAAAATTTTAATTTCAATTCTCGAGATAAACTTGTTCTCTATTGTTAAATCTTAATTCACCGTCTTTAGTCATGGAGTTTTCTGTTGCGGAACCAGTTTGGTGCTCGTTATTTTATGGAAACGTATTGAAATTTATTACGTGGTTTCTAAAAATAATATAATTTCTGGCCAATAGAAATTGTTTAGGGAAAATGACAAATAAAGACCCCTGAATTACCAAAATTACACAGAGGTCACCTGAATAAGTAAAATTACCATGAAGGACCCAGTCCCATATTGTAAATATGAAATCTTGGCAAAATATCTAAAATACCCCTCAGTTAAATTGTGATTTAGTTTATTGAAGTTTTGTAATCAGCTAAAGTAAACTTGTTATTTCCCATAGTCAACTTGTCATTTAGCATACCTTCAATCAAGTTGTGATTTGATCTACTGAAATTATTATTCGTTAAAGTGAACTTATTATTTCCTATAGTCAACTTGTCATTTGACTGGGGGTATTTTAGACATTTCATCAAGATTTCATATTTACAATATGAGACTGGGTCCCTCATAGTAATTTTGTTTATTTAGGTGACCTCTGCGTAATTTCAGTAATTTGGGGGTATTTGTTTGTAATTTTCCCAATTGTTTAATGGCGGAAGCTGCCAGTCCTTCCCAAAGGCTTCTATATAAACCACTCCTCTTACCTCAGCCTAACGTCTCAGCCAAAGTCATCGGTGCTCACACGAAGACGCCCATAATCTTCTTTCGCTTCAACATTTATCCATATCAACAAATCCACATATCCACAAAGCAGAGAGAGAGAGAGAGAGAGAAGGTGGTGCATGTGTATGGAGATTTCTGCTATATTTCTGATATACACCATCATCTTCCTCTCTTCGTCATGCTTCCTCTTCCTCTCTTATCATCCCTCCATGAGGAAAAGACGACAACCTCAAGAACTCGCCGCCAAACTCCCTCCTGGTTCAATGGGTTGGCCTTACGTCGGAGAAACTCTTCAACTCTACTCGGAAAATCCCAATCGCTTCTTCGCTTCCAAACAGAAAAGGTTCCATATCTATCTCCCTCACACACACACACACACACACATATATAAACATAGCTCACTTCTTCTCATCAGTTTCTCACACACGTGTCTGTCTCTTAGCTTCCATGAAACCTATTATAACTTGAAGCTTTTTGTGCTGCAGATATGGAGAAATCTTCAAGACGCACATACTAGGGTGTCCCTGTGTGATGCTGGCGAGTCCTGAGGCTGCGAGGTTCGTGTTGGTGACTCACGCGAACCTGTTCAAACCCACATATCCTAAAAGCAAAGAGAGATTGATTGGTCCTTCTGCATTATTCTTTCACCAAGGAGATTACCATTTTCGCCTCAGGAAGCTCGTCCAGGCTTCTCTTTCCCCAGAAAGCATCAGAAAACTCATACCAGATATCGAATCCGCAGCCATTTCTGCTCTCCACTCCTGGGCTTCTCCTCCCGATCAAGTCATCAACGTCTTCCACGAGATGAAAAAGGTTTGTCTCAGTCTCTTCTGTTTCTGTGCTTTTGTCAGTTTTCTGTGAATATATAAAGATCACATGAACTGTTAGCTGAAAGAGGAAATTTTGAATTTGAGAGATTTTCAACTGTGGCATTGGGGTTAGTTTTTGGCTTATTCGTTGTAATTTATCACACGCATGGCGTTGGATTTTGTTTTCATTTGTGGGGCTACATACTAATAATTTCGATGCATTATTACTGCTTTATTATGTCCCCTTTGACAGTTCTCTTTCAACATCGGCATCCTGTCTGTGTTTGGTCACTTGGATAGCAATTATAGAGATCGGCTCAAGGAGAACTATACCATTGTAGACAAAGGTTACAATTCCTTCCCAACCAGCATCCCCGGAACTGCTTATTCCAAGGCTCTCCTGGTAAGAACTATTTCATTTCATGTACATATATACTACCTCTTGTCTTAATTATAAGAACTAGTTGACTAATTTAAGAAGATTAAGGAAATAAGTTAAGTTAAGTTAGTTATTTGTAATAAACAGGTGTTGTCTTTTCTAAAATATCCTTACTAATCAAATGTGTTAGTTAGAACTATTATTATTAGAAAAGCTACCTTGAAAAAAATATAAATATTAGAGATAAAATAGATTAGGCCTTATATTTATAATCAAAATAAAAGTTAGACAATGTCTTATAATAAAGATCGGAAGTAGTACCTTAATAAAATTTTACCCTAAATTACATATTGGTTGACTGTTCAATACATAATCATATTTTATATTAATTATAGTATTGATCTCAATGTATAATTTTTATATTAACACGAAAAAAAAGTGTTTATGCATACAGTAATAACTACATTCATAGGTAAAATAACATCCAACACTTCCTAATGTTATTTGCTAATACTATCCAACACCCTAACCTTATTTATGATGCATTCAACATCCTAAACTATAAATAGAATTAGGATGTTGGATGAAACTAAACAATATTATCAGGAGACTAGAAAAATAATATCAGAGTGCTGGATGCTACTTTATCTTACATTGATCTTTATACATAATAAACTTCTCTTTGTATCACTTTGATATGATATTGTAGTTTTGTCAATATTGAACTGATGTCAACAAAAGTACTGATATAATTTGTTATTGGGGGATTTTGGTGAAATATGTGAAGGCAAGGAAGAGAATAAATGACATAATTAGTGAGCTCATTAGGAAGTGGAAAGAGCAAAGGTTGATGGAGAATGAACTATTGGGGCACATGTTGAATTACAAGGACAACAAGGGCCAAGCTCTAAGTGATGATCAGATTGCTGATAACATAATAGGAGTCCTATTTGCCGCCCAGGACACAACAGCCAGTGTCCTCACATGGATCCTCAAGTATCTTCACGATGACCAGAAGCTTCTTGAAGCTGTAAAGGTAACATATCTATAAAGAGATTTGTCATATCCAAGTAGGCCATATCTATAAAACTGTGTTTGAATTTATATATTCAATAATAACATCGCTGTACGTGCGGTGTATTTAATCATTAACTGGTCAACAATAATTGCGATGCAGATAGAACAAATGGCAATTTACGAAGCCAACGAGCAAGGGAAGAAGCCCTTAACTTGGGGTCAGACTAGAAACATGCCCATTACATATAGGGTACGTGGTCCTACACTACTAACTACAGTTTCCTAGGTAGCTAGGTTTGAGGGTCCTGTTTTGTTTTTCGTGTTTCTTTCATGAATTGGTTTCCTCAACATCAGGATACTGTTTTAATTCGCAGGTGATACAAGAGAGCCTGAGGATGGCTAGTATTATTTCCTTTACCTTCAGGGAAGCTGTAGAAGATGTAGTGTACAAAGGTAAGATTATTATGAATTCTAGTCTTTTCGGTTCGACATAACTAATGTTAATTTGACTATGAATTGGTAAATAATATGTTTTACTATTAATTGACTGTTCAGGATATTTGATCCCCAAGGGATGGAAAGTGATGCCACTGTTCAGGAATATCCATCATAATCCAGAACTTTTCCCCGCTCCTCAAAGTTTTGACCCATCCAGATTTGAGGTAGGCTGCATATATGAAGAATAAATAAAAACTATAATTTGATTTGATTTTTCTTTTACAGAGGAAAATCTGAATTGCATTTTGATTCGTGTATGGATCATGCAGGTTCCTCCAAAGGCCAATACGTTTATGCCATTTGGAAATGGAGTACACTCTTGTCCTGGAAATGAGCTGGCCAAGTTGAATATGCTCATCTTTATCCACCATTTGGTGACCAAATTTAGGTATATAACTCTTTTATCCTTCATTACTCTGAATTTTTTTTCCCAAAAAATAATCATACACCTATTTTTTAATTAGTCTCATATTTCTTGTAAAATTCGATAAGTTTCATAGATAATAAAATTAGACATGTATATTACTTATAATTTTAAACAGTATAAGAAGGGTGATTAATAATTTTTTGCTTGGTTTGCAGGTGGGAACTGATGCGAAATGAGAAGGGAATTCAATACAGCCCGTTTCCAGTGCCTCTACACGGTCTTCCTGCAAGATTTTGGAAGAACTAATTAATTAATTATATATATATATATATGTTATTATTGGTCTTCTTTTTAATTACTTCTCCGGTCCTAAATATGAAACTCATTTTGTCGTACAAAATTGCACTACAAAATTTGTTTTATATTTAGGACTGAGAGAGTATTAATTTACTATTTACATATTGCATTCCACTACCTATAAAAAGCCCCTTCCATATATATATGAATCCATCCTCCTTAATTAACCCGACTCGACCCGAACAAAGCCTCTAGTTTTTTCAAGTGAGGTTCATTTATATATCTAAGGTCTTCCATGTAACGCCTTCGCTATTATTTGTACGTTTCTACCTATTGTAATTGTGAGTGCTGAGATATTATAAATATATGCACAGTTTCAAGTATGCATTTATTCTCAGTGTATGCTGTTTTATTAATGATTAATACATAATTGATTTTTTTTGTAACTACGCTATATTAGAAATTTAAATTTTATTATTTGTATCCAAAAAAAATTTAATTTTATTAATATATACACAGTTTCAAGCATGCATTTATTTCGGGAAGATTTTAAATTAGGAAAAAGTATCAACAATTATTTTGGAAGCGCAATAGACAAGTTTGTTTTCTTCACAACATTTTTAAATTCTTAAAATTTTTAATATTATCAATATACCAGTCCGTTAATTTTGACTCTAAATTTTTCCCTTTTTACTCTGACCTTACCCCAAGTATTTGTCTCCTCTATTCCATCACGTTCACATACTGTTAATGAACATATGAAAACGATTAATAAAATTTGTATTTGTTATACACTTGACACATATGTCATAATTGTAATTAATTTATTTTGCAAGTTTTTAATGTACGAGGTTGGTGTTACAATGCAAATAAATATCTTTTTATAAGCAACGTTAGAGCTCATCACGTTGATCAAAATGTTAATTAAAATTAGTTAAAGACAATCAATGTGTAGAAATTATAAGTTCTTTCTCTAAAATGTCTTTATTTATGAGGGGAGAGAGTATAAGAGAGAGAATAATAAAATTATTATAATAAAGAAAATTATGAAAGAGAGAAAATATGTGATGGAGAGATGATTGTTTGAAAAAATGAAATAATAAATATATTAAGTATCAAAATAAATAATTAATGAGCACAAAATAGAGAATTATCCACAAAAATTTAAGACAACATACATATGTTACTTATATTTAGAGACAAGAAAGAGATAATAGTTGTTGTTTATAAAATGAAATGGTTAGAGTAATATATTGTTAGATCGCAAAAAAATTAATAATTTATATTCAACACAAAAAAACTTAACAAATCAAACTATTTATAAATTATAAATAAATAATGATAAAAAAATTACCCTATTGGGAGAATCATCGATGGTACGATTCATGACAAGTGTCTCCAAAGGAAAATAACGTTAACACGCAACGATGAACCAGAAGCAAAATCGGGGCTACGTTTCTGTGGTGGAGAGTGCATACGGAATGACGTTGAGGTTCACGATCTGTCGTTCAAAAAGAGCCACGTGTTCCAAGCGAATCAGGCAGCGCCAAAGGAAGATCCACCCTTAGCTATACGGATCTGTTGGTCGTTGGTTTACAGCTAATATTAAAAAAAACACGAAGGAATGAATGAAGGTAAAATCCAGGTCCAAAAAGAATGAAGGTAATTATTCTTTTCCATATAATTATGAAATTTATCTTAAAAACGTGCGTGTTGTGATTTACGTACTTTAAAAAATGTCTCTCGCCACTTGACGGGTGAAGTGTAAATAATACTCCCCGTTCATATACAAAAGTTTCACTTTTATATTATGTTTGGATGGAGAGAAAATTAAGGAAGAAAGAAAACTAGGAAGGAAAATAGAGAGAAAAGTGATTTTTTTTCTTGTTTGGATGAGGGAAGAAAAGTTGGGGAGAAAATGAGATGGGTCCCATAACCCATTTTCCTCCCAATTTTTCTCGAGAAAACGAGAAGAAAACGTATTTTTCCTTTCTACTCTTACATATGTTTTTTCAACAAAATAGTACTTATTTATTTTTTTCACTTTATTTATTATTATCAAGTCTTTCTTCTGTGTTTGTTTAATTGAAAAATAAAATAACTAAAATTACAAAAATCCTTCTAAAATGAATTGAAAGGAAAAACAAGTAGATTTATTGTTTTGGTTTTTTTTAGCATTACGTTACACAAAATATCTTTTTTTTTTCTTACAAAATTATTTGATATTAAAATGTAATAACATGATAATATATCTTTATCAAATAATTTAATTTTAAATTATATGATTATGTTAATATAAATATGGTTTTTCATTATGATATTTAATTTGATTTTAATCAAAATATATTTTGATATAATAGAAAGGGTATTTTAGTCATCTATATATTTACTTATTTTCTTTCTTTTCTGTTTTCTTTTGTCCATCCAAACATAAGAGGTGATAATATTTTCTCTCCAATTTTCTCTTCTCTCGATTTTCTCTCCTCTTATTTTCTTTCCTCTCAACTTTTCTTTCCTTCCAAACAGAGGGTTAAAGATAGATCTAATCCAAAATATAAGTTTTATTTTTGAGTTTATCTGAATATTTATTAGTTTTTTTTTATTTTACTCTTAGTTCACTGTATTTAGTAATATCTCACACATTAATATTACCCCATATATTCTCTTTCATAATTTTTTTTTATCTATTGCCTTTCATTTACTCTCTTAATAAATAAGAACAAATTTGAAAAAAAAAATCTATTTCTGACTTATTTATTTGAAAAAAAAATCTATTTCTGACTTATTTATTATTTTTAACTAATTTTAACTGTTAGTTTGTTAAACGTGATTTAGTTATTTAAAACATATATATAGGACCGAAGGGAGTAATAACTAGAATTCAAGTACTAAAAAAAAAATGCAACCAAACGTATTTATTATTTTTATATGATTAATAATTTTTAAGTGGGGATTGATATTTCAAAAGGAACAAAGGCTGTTCATATTTGGTGGAAGAGGGGGGACCAAAATTGTTTCATTGGACCTTCAGGATTTCATTATGGGTGTGGCTCCAAAAGTGAATTCGAGAAGGGCCTGTCGACTCATTGTAAATTATTTAAAATTAAAATTAAAATTTTTTAGATAATAATTTAGTGCCGGAATAAAGGACCTAATTACGCTTATCATTGCAATAAGTATTAAAACTGCCTTCAGAAGAAGATGAAGCTAATGATTATGTGGACTAGTCGTATGAAAATTTTACGATAAATAAAAAGTTACAGGTTCAATCCACTTGTAATATTAAAATTTTAGTGTATGCCTTTCTATTTTTCTTCTTTTTTTTTTTGGGAAGAAAGAAAATAAGGGAAGCAGCATAACATCAAGAAAACAAAACAAGGATAAAAGACAAAGGAAACAACACATGACAGAGATGATCTGTTGGTGCCATATTTGGCATCCTTTCAACTTCACCCACAAGAAAACCAATAGCCTAAATTAATGCTGCGTCCACATGAACCCATCCCCATCTACGGGCTGTGTCCGTTGCATCACTTATAACTCTCACCACCCCACTCTTGTAACGTCTCATGAAGGAAATCCCAAATCTTCCAAAAATTACTTTTACATTACGGGAAAATAGTCTCAGGTCCTATTTGGTAGAAAGTATCAAAAATCAGGGATAGGAATTGGGATTGGGATTGAGAAAATCTATTAAAAGAATATTTAGTATAAGAGATTGCTTGTTATATGAGATTAGCTAAACCTATGTATGTGGGATTAGGGAATACCATTGGAAAGTGGTATTCTCCAGTCCTACTTTTATGGGTTTGCTTAATTTCATATAACAAATAATTACTCGTATAAATAATACTTTAAATGGTTTTTTTCAATTGCAATTACAATCTATATCCCTTATTTTCAATACTTCGTATTAAACGGGACCTTACATTTACTTTGTATAACGCACAATCATTTAATATAAGCTAAAAAAAACACCGTTAGATCCCATTTGTTACGAAGCATATTTAATAATGAGAGATGAGGATTGAAATTATAACTGAGAAAATCTATTAAAAAAATGCTTAATATGAGTAATTGCTTGTTATCTGAGATTGAGCAAATCCATGTAAATGAAATTGAAGAATACCATAGAGGGAATAGATATTCTCCAATCCTAAATAGCAAGCAATCCCTCTAATTAAGTACTTTTTTAATATGTTTTCTCAATTGTAATATCAAGTTTTATTTATAATTTTCAATACGAATGGAACCCTAATTGCTTTTAGATTGTAGGTCAGGTCAGTGTTTTTGAGGTTTCGCTAGACAAGGAAATAACTCCAATAAAATCTTATGTGTAGGGACTTCAGTGTGAGTTATATAAAAATAAATTTCATGTTAAATAAAGTTAAACTAAAAAAAGAGGTATATAGGTAGAAAAAGATTCACGGACTAATGTGTCAAGATTTTAGATTATGTCATACTCCAATATTCAAATTTTTTGTTATAGTTAATATTACCTCCGATCCTAATTATAAGAGTTAGTTGACTAATTTGAGGAGATTAAAAAAGAAAGTTAAATTAGTTATTTATAATAAATATATGTTGTCTTTCCTAAAATATCTTTGCTAATTAAGTGTATTGGTTGTAACTACCATTGTTATGAAGATTATCTTGAAAAAAATACATAAATATGAGAAACAAAGTGGGTTGGGATCTTATATTTAAAATCAAAATAAAAGTCAAACAAGATCTTATATTAAGAAGGTAGTAATTAATAACTGAGAATTAATTAATTACGTCTTGAAAATGAAAAAAAGGAGGCAAGGTCACAAAACTACAAAAATCCGCTGAATGAGACTGACAATACATTTTAGTTATCTTATTATCTACGCACCGGTAAAGAGCACAGCCACACATGAAGCTTTCATAGGCAACCACATTTTTCTCAAGAGACCTCGCTTAGGATCAAGCCATTATTTAGCATGCCATAAAAGGAAAAAAGGTCCTGATAATTAGGGATTACTTACCTTAATATGAGTGAAAACACCAATCAAATTCCAACAATTCACGGCTCTGGCTTATACTCTTAAATTTTTTTTTGTTACTTAAGAATTTATCAACCCTTTAGCGCACACTCTGGAATCCTCTACAAGTAAGTTTGAGATGACAGCTTGATCCAAAAATTTCAAAATATT